TTGATTTGAAAATTCTCACAAGCAAAAAAAAAAAAAAAAAAGAACATTTACAGTCATTTATTTACAGAAGCATAACTGAACATAAGCAGATATCAAAATATTTATTTAATATTTGCTGTTAACTTATCCCTTCTGCTTTGCAATTTCTGTAAATCAGGACTATTGTATTTATTCCCCCGGTGGCAAGTGCTTTCATTTATTACTTTCTTATGTTAGCAATTTCTAGTACAGGTGTGTGAAAATAGAAGTATGGACATCTGAGGAAGAACAGCTCTACGTGCATGACTAGCAGTCCCTTAATGGTAGTGATAAAAGGAATACAAATACAACAAAAAAGAGAACAAGAGCAGCTTTATCCCAAATGTTCTTGTGTGAAATTCTGTTTTGTGTTTTTTAGTCMGGTACTTAGTAGGGCTGAGACTGTATTATGGCTGCTAGAGACTTGCTTGTGCCCTACTTCCTTCTTCATTTCTTTTGTATAAACACTGATAGGAAAATTGATGCTAAACCCACCCGTACCCCTCTGTTCCTGGTGCTGCTGTGGAGCCTCRCAGCGAGTTGGTGGTTTACTTTTTAACCTGGGACTGAAGGCTATGCTCTGTTTCATCCATGCTGGTCTCCCTGTTTTGATATGGGCCCAACGGCTCCTTTCCTGACCTTTCTTCAGCTCTGTAACCCAGCTGTGTGCTGAGTACAGAGAGGGTGGCTGGCTGACCACCGTTAGTGTGAGAAGGGCGTTTTGCTTGTGTTGGAAAGCTGCAAGCGAGCAGAATCTCTCTTCCTGCAGAAAATGGCTTATCCAAAACACTGCTGCTGAAAGGCCTCGTGAAGGTCTAGCTGGCGTTCGTGGGCATCCTGGTGGCAGTTACGTGCATGACTCCAAATCCAAAGGAAACAGGACAATATAGTTATTTGAACAAATTCTCCTCACTGGAACCTTTTTTTTTTTTTCTAACACTGTTTTAAGGCATATGTCTGCCTGTAACAGCAGCTATTAGTCACTGTGTTTTCCTCTTTAATAAAGAGGGGTTTGAGTTAAGATGATTATAATCAAATCTCTTCACTCTTATAAAATAACGTTGTATCATCCTACAAAAAAAGACAAATTTAAGATAATGCTCTTGAAGCAGTTTTGATATTTGATTCCAATCAGGTAGTCTGAACACTTAACTCGAACATCTTATTGTCAGAGATCAGAGTTTGGACCACAACTTGAGCTGAAGTACTGAGTCTCAGAGAATGATTTCATTAGTTACAGATCTCTAACTTGGACTGCAGCACCTCAGGATAATGATACTTATGTTTTTAGCTGTAAGAAATTCAGTAAAAATACTAGGTAAAAATAATAATTTATCTAGGGAAGAATATTTTAAATATGACCAAATACTGTCTTGATATTATTTCAACTGATGAAAGTATTTGCTAAAGGCTTAATGTATTAGTCTTGCAGAGTTTTTCAGGAAAGTGGGAAGTAGCCTTTAATTATCATCCTCATTTATACTGGCTTAAACTAAAGAATAACTGGTGAGCAAATACAAAGTTAATTATTTTTGTGGCCAAAAATACACAGTCTAATCATTACTTTGATTCTGCTTGTGCTCACAGCTTCCATCCTGTAGATAACTGGAAAAATAAAGTGATGAGATTTGCTTAACTTCCTACTTAATATTGTATCAGAAACTAGGAGTCTTATTTTTACTTTTTCACTCGCATTTTACTGTGATTACTCTAAGGTAGCTGCTAGATCCTAGTAGTTTTCAATCCAGGAAGTGGATTGGAGGAAAAAAGAAAAAAAAAAAAAAAAAAAAAAAAACAACAAGATGAGGATGTGCATCTGTGCAGCATGTACTTTTCCATTATTTAGTTAGCTAGGAGAAAGAGAAGATGTTTCAGATCTCAAAGGTATTGTGTTCAAGTGGTTTGAGCTGAGCCTGTACATGGTATAATGGAGTTGGGACCTAAAATACAACGTGTTTTCYGAAGTTTTTGAACGGAAACTAATATTTCTCACTGTGTTTTAGAATGGCCCATCATTAATAATGTAGTAACTTATAAAAGCTAAGATGAATTTTTTACTTTTATAGATGGGTAATTGTTACTTTTTTCCATTATTGTTTTTGAAAATGGTGTAAATAACACAAAGTTTGCATAAGATTTTTTTCAATGTATGCATGGTTTTGAAAAGTGCAGTTTAAGTCAATTGAGTTTAAATGGAATGCAGTCTTGGTTCAAACATATTGACTTCTCTCATGCCTAGGTTCTTTGAGATTAAAATAAGGTGCTGCAGTGCTGGCAATGTCCACATCTGCCAGTATAAAGCAAACTTGGATGGCGTGCAAGTTAGTACATCAAGTATGCAAATGGCTTCACTATAAACACAAGGCACCAAGGAATTGATGCCTGTCATAGCTATACAGCTTCCAAGTATTAGAGTGTTTTTTACTTTTATACCTTTACATTTATTACCTTTATAATATATATTATATATACGCACACCTATATGTATATATATTTATACCATATACACTTTACATATATACACTTTACATTTATACCTTTTACATATATATACCTTAGTGAATTTCAGACAGTTCCACATTATGGATATCTAGTTAAAGAACAACAACTTTTTTTGCCTTTAACTTGAGTCTCATTACTTTGTGTGTGATACATACATCAGGGCTTCCTCATCACTAAAAATATTTGAAGGAGTTTTGCAGCTGGAGAACTAGCATAATACCTGATAAAAGAGAGCAACTGAGAGGTTTCTGATTCCTGCTGACTCTTCACAGGGCTGCACATCAAAAGAGCTTCTCTTTCTGTCCCTGATCTGAAGCATCTTTGCTGCTGGTCAGCTTCATTTAAGCTTGATCTGCATTGGTCTGCAGCTGAAACTTTTTTTCCAAAGAATAAAGAGAGCCAAGAAAGCTTAACTTTCTAATGTTGTTATAAAGCTTCCATGTATCAAACCTACGGAAGCAAGTTGTATTAAAATCTTCGGTTCCTTTAACGACCTTACTGTAAGTTCTTTGGTTTAAGAAGTTAAAACCTCTGCCAGAGCTTAACCACAAGCATTTGAAGTTCCATATGACATTCTTCTTTTTGCCTAATAAAAATACTAAAATGAAGAAGATATTTTTACTTACTTGACTCTAGTCAYGTGCAGAAAGAGGAGCAGATGAGAAGTTAATGCGAGAAGAAAAAGTAGGAGGAAAATCTTAACGTGATTCAGAGCACACTAGCTGGCAAAAGCGCCTTACTAAGAYAGTAAGTCTACAGTGATACTGATCTTGTATTCAATTGGAAAACTTTTTCCTGCTGTCCTAGTGGCTTTGCCTGAGGTTGATTTTAAGATTAACAATCATATCAAGGAGAAATTTAACWCTAACATTAAGCTTGTAGTATCTGCATGCTGCACTATTCTGAAGTCTCCCCTAAGTGATATACTGGTTGTAAAGGCTTTCCTGGAAACTTTTAAGAATATCAAATTTAGGAAGAAAATCACAATGGCAGGGAAGTATTATGGTCCCTTCCTCAGAATACGCCTTCCAAAGCTTTAAAAAAATGACAAACCTGCTGCTTTTTCAGGTTGAATTTTACAAGAATTTAAATCCTTGCTAGAAAGTAGAACATCAACTTATGAATCTAGTGTGTAATTGATGTTAAAATAGTTTTAAAACAAAGTTGACAGTTTAAATACCTCTAAGCAGGGCTCTCTGAGTAGAAATTCTTTGTTATAAGTAAGCTTTCTGCCAAAAATATAGTCCATTTTTCTCATTCTTGTTGTCATTTGAGATTTTCTCTGCATGGGGCTACATTTCCTTAAATCTCAGTTCAATTTCCATTAACAAGTAAAGCATTAATAGGTTCCTTTCCCTCTCAGCCTCACCAAGTTAGGCTCAACACTGTATTTGCTGCTTTTGCATAGCAAAATGAATACAATATTTTAGAAATCACGTTTTAAAAAATGGATTAATGACTCTAGATCATAATAGGGGCATAAGATGCTAGTGAGTCTGGCTGCTGGAGGTGATCTGTATTTTGACCTGAAAGGTGGGTGACTAGCATTAAGTATGAATTATACCTAAAGAAAGTAAAAGTTTAGGAGAGGATTTCTGGCAGGTAGAGAAAAACTAAGAAAACCTTGAAAAGAAGCAGTGGGAAAATGATCAGACTTTTCCTCCCAAGTGTATAGGCTAACTTTTCTCTTACCATTTTACTACTTTTTGCAGAACTGGCAAAATGAACATAAGCTGCTGACAGCAAACAGGTTTTGACATTTCTGGTAGCATTTCCAGTATCTTCCAGGTGCATTTTTTGTTCACTCGTAATACTTTCTTTTCCAAAATAGACCATCACAGTAAACAGTCCTCATGAGTTTCAGAGAATGTTAACTGCTCTCTTGAATCTCCTCTGGGGTTTACATTCAAAGACCAGAAGTTCTTTTCAGAACTGGGAAAGCCTTTTCACTCCCAAACCGGTGGCAGTTTTGGTGGCATAACACAGCAGCGTTATAGAAATTAATGCTGCTTTTCAGTCACTATGACTGGAAAAAAAAATTACCAGTGTTTTCTGCTGCTGTCCTTGTGGCTATCATCTCTTTTGCATGGTTCTGCTTCAGCCTCTGTGACCTTGCAGCTGCTGCAGCCGTGTTGCTTGGGCTCAGAAACCTGGCTTTTGCATTTTTTTCCTCAGTGCTGTGAAGACCGTGACCCACTGCCTTGTTATGGTTTTTTTTTTAAAGTTCCACATAGAATTTAATCCAGTTGTTCACATCTGGAAAGCAGAAACAGTGCTGTCTGAATTTGGGGAGGGGAGAGGCAAAGAACAAGATCAAGATTTGGATTTTAGTCACTAGTAACTGCTTGCTTAAACTCATTTTAGAGGTTTGCATCAATTTAACCACCACAGAAAGAGGAGGGCTGGTTTTATTTTTCTCCACGCAATCAAGTCTAACCCTGAGGAAGAGATTTTTAAGATCATGTTACCTGTTTGAATAGAGAACCACCAGCGCAGGAAACCAAAGAAAAGGTGGCAGAAGATCTGGGAGCCAGACAGAGCCTGTGCGTGCAACTGGTCACTCCCGCTGTGCATCTCCTGGCCGTGGGCTAGCGGTCACTGCAGCGGAGGTGGCCTCCCTGTGCCACTTTGCTTGCCACGCTGCCACTTGCCACGCTGCCAGGCTCCCTGCCATCTCCAGAGGGAGCAGCGGGGCAGGTCTRGTGGGGCTCCATGCTGTGCTATCTCCCCCATCAGCACACCTGATGCGTGGGGGCCAGCGCTGCYCTATCACCCTCTGCCATCTCCTCCAGGAGGCTGCCCACCCTTCAGCCAGAAAATATAACCGGGAAGGTGACACCCAGTTGTCGGCCCTTAAGCAGAGTGAAATTCAATGAAGGTGGAAGATAAGAGTCGATACGCTTTGCAAAATAAATCTTGGGGTCAGATGTGATTGAAATGAGACGGCCGTGCGGAGAACTCCGTTGCAAGCCACAGTTCTACAGCTGTCAGATGGAAAGAAAATACGCTCGTGTTAAAATATACCTTTACCTAGACTAAATAAATCCTTTCTTAGGCTGCTAGGGGGGAGTTTCTGCTGAAGTAAAGTGACTCTACCGAAAGTGAGGTAGACACCTCCTTATAAATATTCCACAGTGGGAATGGRCTTTTTCACTGATCAGCCCATCAGTGGCTCTGCTCCAGCTAGCTAGCTCCTTACAGCTTACCCCAAATTCATAAACATATAGACATAGCAGCAAAAATATATATTTCTTTGTATTGTTTTTGGAAATGATTTTTTTTTTTTTGTTTCTGTTCGACTTCAGAGCTACCTGTCCAACTAGCACCAACTTTTCCAAAAATGTTTCTTTGCAACTCCCTTTGTTTATAGGGATAACCTCTTAGTTACAGAAGACATTGCATAGTTGGACCATATATTTTGCAGTCTAACTATTTTCATTGTGCTAATTTGAATTTAATATTTGTAATTGCATGGCTGGCTATCAGTGTGCTACCACTGCAGCACACCATAACAAGTAATAAAAGAGCAGAAACAAGGAGGAGAGATGATTTATAGGCTAGAAATCTCATGTGGTTGCTCTTCTTTGGCACTATGTACAGCCTGACGCACTTTATAAATCTATCACGCTAATGCAAGTTTATTTATTAGTGTGTAGTCAGTGAAATTAGTAATGTTCTGGGCAGTAGTTTTCTTAGTGAGGTAGTAAGAGAATTAGATGATTTTRTTGGCAAGCAATCTGGACCATGAGGGAGTTATACAATGAGATCTAGGAAAATTAACAATTTGTTGGTGGTATGGAAATGATAGAAATATTTCTGGTCAAAGACAGTCAAATATGAGGTGTTTGAAGGCATGGTTCAAAGGCAGGTAAGGCAAGTTAGATCGTTACAGTTGCTTAACAAATGCCACAGCCAAAATGCTATAATGCTTTGTATGTAAGGTTGTAGAACTGCTGGTCATCAAGGTGTAGAAGAAACCCAAATCCTCTGAAAATGAATGGATTGTGATATTTCTTAGTAATAAGGAAATAGTGTAACTTCATAATAATAATAAAGCAATAASTAAATTTGAGAGGAAATGTAATATTGTAAAAATTATGGCAAATGAATAAGTGAAATAAACTATGCAGTGACATGCAAAATGAAGCAATGGAAACATTAAGGTACTCAATTTCATTGTTTTGATGAGGAAATTGAAAGCAACTGGGCTAGTAACTCTGGTGTCTAGCACAGTTATATTTAATACTAAAATAGAGTTAATCCCTGCCCTGTCTGACGCTAGTACTAGGCGATTCAAGGATGGCTTACGTGTGCATCGTTGGGAACTGTTACATGGGCATTAACCGCACTGATCTGTCATACTTCACATATTTTGGCAGTTTGTTCACAGTGACCAATCTACACGTCAGCATTTCCTGTTTTACATTTTTGTGTTGGTTGCTCAACATATTTTTGACGTGATATAACAAATTCTGCCCCCAAATCCCAGCTCTTCTATGCATTTGCTTGTTGTTTATTCAAGTGAAGCACTGCGAGTTGCAATCATAAATTATCATATTTGTCTTAAGGGTAGTTTCTGTCCCTTTCTGTGAGAATGATTTTACAAAGAGTTCATTAGCTCATAACGCTTAACCATCTGATCCTTTCCAAGACTTTTCTCATATTCCCTCATTCTGAAAAAAGATAAGAGATTTTCATGAGTACCTTCAGTTTATTATTATGAAAAATCTGTAATACATAGAAACCATCTTATAAATCTATACTCCTTGATCATAAGCTGCTTGTCTTATTGCAATGATGATATATGCAGCTTTATTATTTATTCTAGAATTGTAAAGATGAGATTCAAATATTATTTGCCTAAACTATGCATAGAAACAACTTTAGAAAAAATAGTTAAAATAATGGGAAAGAAAATAAACGCCAAAGCCATCTTTTTTTTATTCATGTATTTATTTTTGTCTCTTGGGAATGAAAAAAAACTGTCACGAACATTTGTTAATATATAGAGCAAGCTTTGATATGAAATTTAATGTTAATATTGTTCCACATGTTAATATTCCATCTATTTTGACAAGAAAATCTCAGAAATGATGTTTAACTCTGACTTTTCAAAATTATTTAAGGTTATTTATGAATTTTCTTCTGGCAGTGTTCACTTTCCCATGTAAGCTGGACATCAGAAATACTATAACCACATAAACATGAGAAATATAGAGCAAATATTTAATTTTATTTTTAAATATATGAGTAAAAATGAATTACAGTATACATTTGCATATATTGTAGTGGATATATGGGTTAAGAGATTTAACTTTGTACCTTTATTAATGTGAAATTTGCCGAGTTGTTTATTTGAAACATAACCTGTTCAGAAGATCTGAATGCATTTCTTATATTAATGGTGTAACTTTTCCTCTAAAGCCGACTTTGTGAATAACCATTATATGCTTAGTGGCCTGAATACTTCAAATWTGTGAAGGAAATCAAACCCCTTCCCAGAATCTGAAACTTTGGCTTTTTGCTAGTTCTCCATATGGCCACTTTAAGCTTAGTAGACTCCTTACAAGTAATATAAAAAAAAGTAGGTTTCTTCGTCAGTTCTGACAGCAGGATTCCATTGAGCTGCAATGATGGTTACAAGGGCCTTGCATGCATGTAGAAGGCAAATGAGTAACAAAAATTAAAATCCTGTCTGTGACGTGATAAGAATAATAAGCGATTCTAGTTATTTTTGGGTTATTTCAAGTTATTACTGCCTACTAGACAAAAAAGGTCATTTCAATCTAATCATTATAGAGCAAATCAGTAAAATTCAGCTATTTGGACAGGCATTGTCCTCTGCATTTTGTTTTGTGAAAAAATAATTTGGAACTGCCAGTTCTAAAAGGTCTATATTCTTTTATCCAGGATTCACTAGAATTTTATTTTAGCAGGAAAGTAAGTTAATGAGTGATTTCTGCAGATGTGCAGTTTGAAATGAAACTCTAATCTGAGATCTATAAAAGTAAATGTATACAGGAGATTCAGTCCTTCAGAGGAAACCTGTGTCACTGAATTGAACAAAACTGAAATTATTGTTGCCAATGTTTTCACCGTTTTTTATCCCTTGCAGACTTTCTGAAATGCCTATCATAAGACAAAACATATATACAACACCTGTATATAAAATTGCTAAGAGCTCTTTAAAACACAAGCATGACTCAGTAACCTTTTCATCTCACAGGTACTATAGCCATTATTTAGGTGGAGGAACACAGTTATGAATGAACACAGACTGTTTAATAATTGTGATAGAATTGGACAGAAGGGCAGAATTTTAGGTAGCAAACACAACAGTGTCACTTACCTTCCTGTCACTTCAAAAAGTAAATAGACTTTGGGTTTTTATTCTTAGTTTTTATTCATTTTTTCTTCAGCCTTGATGCAGAAGGGATTGGCTACAGTGCTTTATTTTACATTAAAGAGGATTGTAAGAATGTAAGAAGTTAAACTCAATGTAGCATTTTCCTTCCAAAATTATCTAGCTTGCTTAATCAGGAGACCTCTACTGTAAAAATATTTTGGTCCCTAGATTTCATGACTTGGGATTTTTCTTTAACTCTGAAGCCTAGGATTGGCAGGGAGTAGATGAGTTATTTTTGCTTTGCTTTGTTTTAAATAAAATCTCAGATTCCTCCATGGTTCCCTGCTTCCTGAAGCTGGTTGTGGGCAAAACAGTAACTGCTCTCCCAAGAAGGCAGTGTTGGTAGCATGAGGGAACCTCGGCAGAGCTGGTGCTGGAGCGCTGCCTGGAGCTCTCCTTCGGGGCTGGAACCAAACGTGCTCCTCTGGAAAGAGTTATTTAACAGTATGGTGGGTGTGCTCAGGAAGCAAATATTGTCTGAGTTTGTTCACTAGGGTTGTGGCACGCATGGCAGCTTGCAGGCCTCCTAAAAAGTGAAGCACACCTCTCAGAAGTCTCCCCGTATGTGCAATTTACGGCCATCTGGGTGGAAGATGGGATTAACCAAAGCAAGTTCTTCCAGTCAGTGATTCTCCCATGACTAGATAAATAACAATCATTAAAAAAAGAATGAATAAAATAAAAGCAATTTGTGCCCTTAGGGACAACAAGTCTCCTGGGATTACTAGTTTGTATTTTCACTGCGTCAGCAAGGATGCAGATTTGTAAATATCCCAGACTACCCAAAAGGGCAATAAGTTATTCATCTTTTGTTGTTTTCTTACGTAATATACTTCCTTATTTTCAGTAGAGAAGGAAATATAATGCTGAGAACCAGTGTTAGAAGTTGCCTACTCAGAGTCTTTCTCATAAATACGAGTGAGTCAGAAGTTGCCAATTTGTTCAGGAAAAGCTGTGTAACACCACCACAYGGAGATGAAAGAAGTATATTTTCTTAAGGACGCCTTGTCCTACCAGAGTTTTAAAGACTGATTAATTATAAAGGTCAGAAGTTAACGTTTGTTTTCAGGATAAAACTCTGGTTTGGGAAAGGCTTGAGTCATTTACTGTAGACAGTGAAGGCTTGGATTGCATTAATTTATAGTTTGCATTTG